CACAGATGGGGAGAGAGCAGACCCAGCCCAGAGGCATAGAGGTGCTCGGCTGCTGCTGTGGGCTGGAGTCCCTCATGTCACTGTGTTGTATTCTCTCTTGGTGATGGCTGCACCTCCATCTCTGGGCTTAGCCAGACTCACCCGGCTCGGTGGTCCCATGTTGGCCACCAGCTGCTCCCTCCTGAAGCAGGAGGGGTCCAGGGTCAGACCTTCAGGGACAGAGGTGCCAGTGGATGGGCAGGGGGAGGATCCCAGGGGACTTGGGGACAGAGCATCAGTGGCTCAGCACAGAGAGGGCTGGGGGCTCACACAGAGGAGGGCCTGAGGGAGGGAGTGGGCAGCCCCCGTGTCCCGACCCTAGATGAGGTAAGGGTGAGATGTGGCCACACGGACAGGGCTGGTGTCGGCACAGAGCAGCCTGGAGGCCAAGGAGACACCAGCTTCCTGGGCTGGTTGGGGGCTCAGAGACAAACGGTGCCTTCAAGGTCCCTGGCACCTCTCTGCATCTTTCTTTTTTCTCCCACTGTGACCTCCAGTTACCTGATGTCTCCAGAATTCAACTACAAAAACCTGCCACTGGCCAAAGGGCACACAAGACATGCCTATGCTTCTGTCTGGAGCAGCTGGATGGGGACAGCCCATCCTGCTTGTCACTGACGTCCTTCACAACCAGGGGTCAGCCACGGATGGACACAGACACAGCAGATTTGCAGGGGGAAAGTGGAGCTCCCAGCGCAGCTTTCTCCTCCCATCAAGTTCAGACCAGAGAAGCTGGCGGCATGGAGTTGGGTGGAAGCCCCAAGGAAGGCACCCCAGGGCCGGGGCTGCCCCACACATGGAGTCTCCCTGGAAGACAGTGGTGTGGCCCAAACCAGCCCACCTGGTGACCAGAGCCTCTCTGTCCAGCCCCTGGAGCAGAGCAGCCCCCACAACCACCTGCACCATGCGCCCTGCACCTGCACGGCCCCCTGGCCTGACTGCAGGTCTCAGGGTGACATACCTCCATGCAGCTATTGGGGCAAAGGTCCAGGCCACTGAGTTCACAGGCAGATATAGGACGGGTCTGTGGGAGGGAGAAGGTGGGGTCCCTGTGTGTCCTTGTCGGTCTCCCCTATGCCGTGATCTCCTGGAGGAAGGACGGTGCGAGATCCACCCTTGTGTCCCAGGCTCCTGACCAAGCCCTGGCCCTGGTGCTCATGGATAATAATCATGAATGAGGGAATCGAGCAATGCCTGCACCAGCCTTCCTTCCTTCCTTCTGGGGAGAGAACAGGCTTCTAGAAAGGCTNCGGCCCCCTGGCCTGACTGCAGGTCTCAGGGTGACATACCTCCATGCAGCTATTGGGGCAAAGGTCCAGGCCACTGAGTTCACAGGCAGATATAGGACGGGTCTGTGGGAGGGAGAAGGTGGGGTCCCTGTGTGTCCTTGTCGGTCTCCCCTATGCCGTGATCTCCTGGAGGAAGGACGGTGCGAGATCCACCCTTGTGTCCCAGGCTCCTGACCAAGCCCTGGCCCTGGTGCTCATGGATAATAATCATGAATGAGGGAATCGAGCAATGCCTGCACCAGCCTTCCTTCCTTCCTTCTGGGGAGAGAACAGGCTTCTAGAAAGGCTGGGCTTGGGGACCTCCCATCTGCCCTGCTGGGTCCCCCAACCTACCGCCCCTGCCCTTCCCTTCTGTCCTGCCTTCAGGAACACAGGCGCAGAAACGCCCTTCATACTGCGCTCAAGCATCCTGGGGACACTGGCAGTGCACCAGCGCCACTGGGTCACCAGGTGGGGACGCTGTTACACATCCTGACACCCCAGGTCACCCTCACTGGGGAGCCCTGCCTTCAAGCCCCACCAGAAGGGTTCGGGGCCTCCATAGCGAGCACAGCAGCTCCAAGTGGAACAAAATCCTGTAGACGGACAAAATACGAGGGAACTTCAAAAAGCTCACGGAAGGATTCGTACTGTCTCTTAATTCTATTTTCCACAAGCTTTTTGAAGTATCTTCGTATTTCAGAAGATTATTTGAAGGACAATATATATTCATTCCTCCAAAATATTGTGGGTTTTATCCTAAGGACTAAAACGATCAGAAAACCGGGTGTGTGTGCGTGTGCGTGTGTGTGTGTGTGTATCTGTTTGTGTATACACATATGTCTGTGTGTGTCTGTGCGTGTATCTGTACATGTGCCTGTGCGTGTGTCTGTGTCTGCATGTGTCTGTGTGTGCACGTGTGTCTGTGCATGTGTCTGTGTGTGTCTATGTATATGCATATGTGTCTGTGCATGTGTATGCATGTGTGCGTGCACATGTGTCGGTGCATGTGTGTGTCTGTGCATGCATATGCATATGTGTCTTATGTGTGTGTGTCTGTGCATGTGTATGCATATGTATCTGTGTGGGTGCGTATGTGTGTCTGTGTGTCTATGTGTGTGCGTATCCATGTGCGTAGGTGTCTGTGTGTGAGCACATGTCCTCCGTGATCCCTCAGTCCACCCCGCAGCCCTCCAGCATCTGTGCGGGTCATGAGCCTGTTTGTCTCCAGCCATCAGCCGCCCTCCTCTGACTTGCAGTGAGAAACGGCAAACGCCACTGGCACCGCACAGCAGCCGACTTAGGCTCTAACGCCAGCTCCACCATCTGCAGCTGTCTCTCCTGAGCGGCCACCTTGCCACCTGCGAGCCTGGGTACCCGTGAGTCCCCCTGGGCAGCCGGGAGGGTAGATGAGGGGACACAGGTCAACGACTGAGCACAGAATAAGGAACTCGAAACACAACTGTCCCTTCAGTTCTGTGCCAGAGTAAATACAAGTACCTGACCCAGATCCACACTTCCCATGACCCCCAAGTCTCCGACCTCCGTTCATCCAACAGGCAGCAGCTGCACGTCACTCTGGGCACAGACCTGGGCTGGGTAGGGGTGTTGGGGCCGCTGGCTCCCTGCCACTTTTGGCCATGAGTAGAAGCAGCCTGAGGCCCGCACCAGATGCAGCTGTCCCAGAATCATAGGCCAAATAAACTTCTGTTCTTTATAAACTACCCAGTCTCAGGTATTGTTATAGCAAAACAAATGAACTAATACAGGGGCGTCCGCCCCGCTCTCTCAGCCCAAGCCTGGACTCTCTTCCGCTCCCCAGTGGCAATTACTTTCTCTTTCCCTTTGCAGTTCCCTTGGGTCCTGCTGCAGGAAGGGCCTGTCTCCATCAGAGGTCCCGCTCCTCCAAGCCTGAGGGCCCCAGAAATGGAGGGAAGGTGGGGCTGAGCCTCAGGAACCTCCCACCCTGGTGCCTAAGCAGGAAGAGGGTGGGGCCTGCACAACAGTGGCCCTAGGACGTCACTCACCANCACCTGCCCTGCTGCCTGCCCCCCTCTCCCTGCACCTGCCCTGCTGCCTGCCCCCCTCTCCCTGCACCTGCCCTGCTGCCTGCTCCCCACCCAAGAACTTCCCTTTCCTTCTCCACTTCTCCTAGGTCTATCCTGATCCTACCTGCCATGCAGAATTGTGCTTCCTCTCTTGGTTCTTCAACAACGTGCTGTCCCATGACAAGCACTACTTGGTCACCTGGTACATATCCTGGAGCCCATGCTGCGAGTGTGCAGAACAGGTGGCCGACTTCCTGGCCAGGCACAAAAACGTGAGGCTGACCATCTTTGCTGCCCGCCTCTATTACTTTTGGGAATCAGAATACAGGCAGGGGCTTCGCAGACTGTGCTGGGAAGGGGCCCAGGTGGACGTCATGTCCTTCCAAGGTGAGAAGTGGGGGTGGGCTTCTGGGCTTTGGGAGGGGCCAGGGTGAGGGAGGGCAGGTGTGGGATGCCCGCAGGATGGGGGCCCCAGGGCAGCCGCACAGGATGGAGCCAGCCCTGATTCCAACTGGCCGCCAGAAGACAGGCCCCAGGGAGGGCGGCCCAGAGGTCAGGGAGCAGGGCCTACTCAGCCCTGGCTGCTTCCTGCCTCTTCTATTTCAGAATTTCAAAGCTGCTGGGGAGAGTTTGTGTACAACCAGGGAATGCGCTTCAAGCCTTGGAAGAAACTGACGACAAATTTTCAAATCCTGAACTCCATGCTGGGGGACATTCTCAGGTGAGGGGCTTCCTGGGGCTCCTCACCTCCCCCTGTCACCTCGGCTCGACCCCTCAGGCCTTCCCTCCACTCTGACCAGCTCCCCTCCCTGCCTGGCCTCCTGCCTGGCCGGCCCTGGGCTGCTCCCCCCTCACCGTCTCCTCCCTGCTTCCCTGGGCCCCTCCTGGAAAAGACCCCTTTCTCCCTGCGGAGCCACCTCCATGCAGCCCAACGTCTCCTTCCCCCCAGCCTCAGAGCCCCCCTAACCTGGCTCCTGCCATCACGACAGAGCAACCGAATCTTGTGTTACACTGAACA